ACTTTTTTTGTCTTTTCTCTTCTTCTTCTTCTTCTTTTTTTTCTTTTTTGGTACCAGGATTGAACTCAAAGGCACTTGACCACTGAGTCACATCCCCAGCCCTGTTTTGTATTTTATTTAGACACATTGTCTTACTGAGTTTCTTAGTGCCTCACTTTTGTTRAGGCTGGCTTTGAACTCGTGATCCTCCTGCCTCAGCCTCCCAAGCAACTGGGATTACAGGTATAGGGTACTGCGCCCAGCTATGACCTTTTCTTATACTGCTTGTCTTCACAGCTTCAAAGAGACTAGCATATCTGTATCCACACCTGTTTTCTCTGCCTTCGMTTGTCTTTGCAAGATTGACCTGTCTGGTCCAGTTGCTTCTCTGGATCCTGGGCCTTTTGGTCCACTAGTAGGATTATATCTTTGCAATTATCCACTCTCTTTTCTGAACTGCGTTTTTTTTTTCTTCTCTATGGTATTTTGTCTAAAAGTTGCAATATTTCACATATTCAAAAATAAAACTTTTTAAAAAATTTTTCCCAAAGCCTACTATCTCCCAAAGTTCCTATCCATTTTCTTCACTGTACTTTAGAGCAGAATGTCTGAAAACATTGACAATCCCTCAGTTCAGACCCTTGATTCCTTCTCTATTTTCAATTCCATTCTCACAGTGGCCATTTTGCTGTCATCATTCCCCTGTATCTGTCACTAGCACATGACAGAAGTAACAGCTCCTGTCTTTTAGAAACACTCTTCTATCCTGGGCGTCTGTGAGACCATCCCTACTCATTCTATTCTTGCTCCTCCTCAAATATCCATTTCTAAATGTGACATGTCCCCAGTTGCAATCATTTTTCTATTTTCTCTCCTGAAGTGACTCCTAAATGACTCCTCAGTTTGCATCTTCTGGCATGACCTGTCATCAGAACTCTAGTCTCATATACCAAGTGACCTACATGATTGACATTCCTAATTTTATATCTAACAGCTATCTCAAATTCAAAATGTTCAAAAACTAATAGTCCCATCTAAAGTAATTTATTCTTACTCATCTTCATCTCTTGAAGCAACTCCACAGTTCACCAATTTTGATAGCCAAAAGCCTAGTCACTGTCTTGATGTGCCTTTCCTGCAATGTGCTTTATCGGAAATATATCCTGATTTTTCTCTTTCAATCTCTTCTTCTGACTCCTGGATTCCTGCCACAATCATCTTCTATGCAATACTCAGTTGTCTCCCAGTTGGTCTCCCCCCTTCAGTCTGGATAGATTTCCTCACAGTAGGCAGTGCAGTCCTTAAAACAGTGAATCAGATCATGCCCYCTTTGAAACCCTTTTGGCCATCTACAGAATGAAATCCCAGCTTCTCCCATGCCCTACAAAGCCTCACATGATCTGGCCCCAACCAAGCAATCTATTCATACTGTCCCTTTAGGTCCCCAAATCATGCAGAAATGAATTCTGTATCCCCAGATTTTGTGCCAGTAATTAGCCGAAGTGTCATGCCTTCCCTAAGTATGCAYGATGCTGGACTCCTCTCATAACTCAGTTTCAGTGTCATCTCCTTAAAAAKCCCTTCCCTGACAATCTGATTTAAAAGAGATACTCAAAGCAATTCCTTGTCACATTACTGTGCTTCCTTCTTCACAGAATTCATCACTCTCATCTGCGAATTTTTCATTTATTTGTTTAGTAGTCTATTTCCCTGTACTAGAATGTAAGGAAGCTTGAAGAAAGAAGGATGTTGTGTTACCTTTGATATAAGCTTTTCTAGCAACAAGGGCATCTCAAAGTTGGTATTCTAATAATTAGTTTAATAAGTAATACATACAGAATTGTTTTAAAGAGTAAATTAAGTAGTGCTTTAATTATTTAGCTCATTTCCAGGCACAGAACACCTGCTGAAAAAGTTAGTTGCTGCAGTCATTGTAATTATGATCAGGTGCTCATTTCATATGTGAAAAATGATGATTACAATGTGTTAATGTGTTAAATCTTTCAGGTAAAATACTGGCATTTTAACAGGTTTCTAWTATAAACAATACTTGAAGTTACACTAGTGATTTTTTTTTTTGCATATCAGTGAATATTTCAACATCTCTAAAATCAAATCACATAATAAGCCACTGCTGTTGCCTGCTGGTAGGACTGAACCTATTCATGTTTCCTAACTAATCAACCATTCCAACTCTAAGGCCAACCTCCATGAGCTAAATTAAAATCAGAGACCTTATCACTAGACCCAGGTTCATTTAATTTAAGCCCATTATTAAACCTACCACTTTTCAAAAATGTATGACTTGAAGGAAATCTCATTAAACTTCATGGAAAGGCTAAAGTAAGCTTTGCCTTCAGAGCTAACCAGAAATGGAGCCATTAGAAATGTGTGTGATGAAGTATAAATTACAAGGTGATATTAAAGCCAGACTAGAGCTCAAAAGAGAAAGATATTCTATCACATATTTTAATCTCTTTTTCAAAATCCTTTGTGAAGGTAGACTAAATAGCAATGATGATAATAAATTTGGAAAGAGCAAAATACAGCACCCTCAAAACATAAAACAGCAAAAAGCTGATGTATTTTAAGTATTTGAAATATGAAAGATGAGAAGATTCTAGAAAGTCTTTTTCTAAGTCYGATTTATATTACTCAATAGTTAACATTGGCATGGAAATTTAATCATGTCTCTAGCCTGTTCAAATCTTATAATAGTTACCAAAGAAGTTCTTAACTCCCTATTCTATAGTTATGCCTGTAGGSGCTTTATAAAAATTTATTCCTTGATTTGTTTCTATTCTAACTCTTCATAATTCTAATTTTTTCTTTTCRTTTTCACTAAATYCATATTTATTTTTAAATTAATTCATATGATAATGCACTTTTAGGGAGGATGATGTTGTTCAACATATGGGATACATATGTTATATGTATCCCATATGTTATATGATGTCATTAAAATAATTAACTTTGAAAAAGTTGTAAAGATAATATTTGATCTCTAAAGTTTTTGTAGAAAAAATAATTTCAGAAAAGCTGAGTTAAACAAATACTTCTCGTTGTCTTCAGTATCTCCTATATTTCTCCCAATTGTTTAAACCAAAGCAACCTCATTCCTTGAGAAGKTATCTTGAGACAAATATTCTCTGGAACAGATTTTAGTAATAACTGCTCTAAGGAAATGTATGAGACTGTGATATAAARCAGGTTTTGAATTTCTAGAATATTCTCTTAGTCAATTTATTTACACAATGCATTAACTTTGCATGATGTACTCTATAAATTAAACAATGTTTATCCTTTCTTTTTTAACTTTGCTACCATTCTTTCCCATTCATTGTTTATTAACTGACTGTATTTTCACTGAATAAAAGTTTGTTTTGTTTTTACAACTTCAAAAAAAAAAGTCAAAGAATTAGTTTAGCTGTGGTTTAGGASATCTGGATTAAACTGTGATTAGATCAGGTAAGAAAATGATACTTGTGACAAAAAAACTATGCTTTTAATATTACTCCAGAATAATGCCATAGAGACAGCTGTCTTTTCTTACTATTAAATATGACAGTTATATCAGTTGGTTTTCTAAAAATAATTCATAATGGTAGAACTTTGAAACAGAATATTCTGGAAGCACCTTCAATAATGGAAAGTRAGGAGTTTSTTCTGAACCCATTAAGCCATCTGCYTGTATTTCTRACCATGATGACTCATTAAATTTCTTTCTCTATAAGAGTAAGGATCTGAAAAACCCTTAAAGTGCTTTATTTCTCAATTATAATGAAAGAAAAGAAATATTCCATGAACTAGTCTGCTCCCTCCTTTATCAAGGAAATCAGAATGGGGGCTGCCAGGGTCTAGGTCAGGGGAGGCAAGGGGAGTGATCCYCTATAGGTACTGGGCTTCCCTGTGGGAAGATGAGAGAAGTTATGCASGTGGAAGGTGATGAAGGTTGTGTAACAAACAGTGTGAATGTTGCTCAGGTGACTACCTGTAGATTTTAAATGGATGAGATAGGGCTGTGGATGTAATTCAGTGGTAGAGCATGGGTTTARCACGTCTAATGATGAAGAAATGATAAAAATGATAAACTCTGTGCTAAGTATATTTTACTACAATTAACAAAAGATCAATTAAAGAAAGAAGTAGGCCAGGAGTGGTGGCACGCACCTTCAAAGCCAGCTTGCACAATTTAACAAGGCCCTAAGCAATTTAGGGAGACCCTGTCTCAAAATAATAATAATAATAATAATAATAATAATAATAATAATGATAATAATGATAATAATAATAATAGGCTGAGGATGTGTGGCTCAGTGATTAAGTGCCCCTGGATTCAATCCCAGGGACCAAAAATAAAGAAAGAAGAAGTAGGAGAGCCAACATACAAAGATGGATTCTACCCAAATTATAGCTCAGTTTTAGACTTCAGAAAACCTCAAGATTTATTACATGTTGTCTGATGTTAATATAACAAAAAAAAAATTTATAGGCTGCTGTATTCCACAAATTTTTGACAAATAAAGAATAGACTGTAAGAACTATCAGGAAATATTGCCTTTCTTACAATTATACTCCTACTTCCGCACCGTTTCTCAAACTTTCATTCATTATCTATGTTAAAAGAATAGTCACATGACAAATCAATACATAAGCTCTATATCTATGTGGATGGATAACTAGGCCACATCCTACTTTCAACAGAAAAGCTTTGCATATTATGACTGAGTACAGATATCAGCCTCATTTGTGTGAGCCTCATCATTAGTGCATTTAAACTGTCCATCGGTAAGCAGATGCTGGTTTCTAATTTATCCTTTAGTGAAATCAATCACTGAGGGCTCCTATGTGTCCCCTTGTTCTACATTAATTCCATTTCAGAAATTCACTCCATTTATAAGCAGGATTTGGAGCTTTGGCAGAAAGTCAGTGGTCAAAATTGATTTTATGAAGGACTTAGAATAGTTCAAAAAGAAACAAAAGGAGAGGTTTTTCTCTCCATGAGCTACCTGGGACAATACCTCTGTCCAACATAACAGAGACCAGCACTCACAGGACGCATGTTGAGACTAGTGAAAGAGACCCAGAAGACCTTTGTAAAAAGCATGTTTCCAGATGGTTGAGATGCAACAGAGAGGAAAGTGAATTCAACTCCTTTTGCATAACCAACAGACAACCCGGTTTCTAAGAGAAAAACACAAACGCAAAGCAAAAACACAGAGGACTTGCAAATTAACTCAAGTTGATGGTTTGTTACTCATTCCACTAGTTTCTCCCCATCTTCTCAGCCCCAACTGGGAGTTCAGAGCAAGTGACTCACTTAGAATCCACCTGGCTGCTGACTTGTGTTTCTAAGAGGTGTCATTACCCTAATGGCAGGGGACAGAGACCTCAGCTCAACTTCATCATGTCACACTATTTCTCCAGAAACAGGCCTCTCTCTTCAGTAACCCAATATACAACAATCAGATTTCCTCTCTGCTATTACAAGAAAGAGGGACTTAAAACATCAGGGGCCAAAATTACAGTTTGTTTGCAGTGTTGGTAATTGTTGTTTTAATTCTACCTTTGGGTAGTATCTGGGAAAAGGGAATTAAATGAACTCAAAACACATTTTCAAGCTTTTAAAGCATGCCAAGTTCTACTGAAATGTGGGGGAAGTGAGGCACTTTAAGTTGCAAGAACACCCCAAGAACTTATTACACCGAAGCATCATGTACACTATTGAATTATGAGGGAATAAATGGGGACCAGGTTTTAGGAATGTAACAGAAAGACATTCATATAGGTAAACCTGGTGTTTAAGAATAAAGATTTCAACAATAGACAAGTGTGAGGTGATATAATGGGAGGAATCCACAGTTCTGCATTGTTTAGATTTTTAGATTTAAATTCTTAAGTGTCCAATGATGCATGTGCCATGATTCAATAGTTTTTTTTGATGGGTGGGATAATTAACTTTTCATTCCCTGAAGTCACTTCCTAGTGCCCAGTCAATATCTGAACTTGTGAGTTAAGCCCTGTAAACCCTAATCAATTTATTTCTGCTGATTTCTCTGAGTCTATAAAGATATAATGATAGAAAGATATAATGATTCCAAAAAGGCATAATTATATAGCCACAGATGTTTGGAGCTATACAAATTTTGGGATTCTCTCTCAACCCCTGTGATCAGTGAGGAAATAAGGTAAACTTTGAATTGATACAAMAGATTAAGTGTGGTTAGGCGAAAATGAATATTCTCTCATGTTTTCCTATTAAATTCTGAGTTCCCTGAAGGCTAGGTCTGGTTTGTATCCGGAGTTTTACACATGATATAATAGTAGGTATGGAGTAAAAGTTGAATGAATAAATAAAATTGAGACATACTTGGTTTCTAGAGTCTCAAAAGGTCTAGCTAAAGATGCCAAGTATCTTGAGTCCTAGCATACTCTAAATGTTTTTATTCCTAGAACTTTTCAAATGGAACACAGAAAAGTAGATGGGTACCCACATTAGCTCTTTCCCTTCTATAAGCTTGTCTTCTATAAACTAATTAAGTTTGGATATTTATTTGTTCAAATAATTGATTTCAAAGTAAATTCAAGAAAACTATTTTTATTGCAAAAATGTGTCCTAATACAGCAGCCACATTTAAAAGTATGGACTTCTAAATTATTATCTTCCCCTGTGAAGATGTTACTTCTTGTAAAGAAATTTTACTGTGAGAAATAAATATCTCATCATAATCCATTGCTACTTGAAATCTAATATATTTAACTTATTATTGCTAAACAAAATGTGTGGCCACAATTAGCCTGCACAATGTTCTATTATTTCAACTTTGTCAATGGAACTCACTATATTGGATTGAAAGGCTAAGAGAATTCCCTTCAGTTCCTTTATCTACATGTGTGAGAATCTCTCTGAATGTTCCAGATATGGATTTCTCAGGCCAATTCCCTTACTGATGTCCATAAATAATGAATATGTATAAATCATCATTTTATACTTCAAAATGACAATTTGGTTCTATGTTCAGAAATATTAGTCCTTTTTCTTCAAAAATATTTGGAGTACCAAAATTCTTCAATGACCATCAGTAAAATCAGCATTTTTCCATAGAATTGCAAATATGTCTTAGGATACATTTTCAAAATGTGACTCTTATCTTTTTATCTTAAAGGAAATTCCCAAGTTAAAAAAAAATGTAAAAAGTTATAATTCTGTTAATCTAAAAATTCATAATATTTACTCAACCATGATATTTCCTTTACAATATAACTTGTTCTTTGAAATGGTAGTATTCAAAGGTAAGCATTATGTATTTGATAACTTTTATTTTGAACAAAAGAATATCAAAATATAGTACTATTTTTGGCTTTCCTGGAATCAACATACTGTGAATGTAAAAAACAGTGTTTTGATTATTCAATTTCTATCCTCTTGAAAATCTCAAAGAAAAAGAGTTAATAATTCCTAATTCCTTAGAATCTAGGAAATAAGATAACAGAGGGAAGAAGAAAGGGAGACAGAGTAAGAGACTTTCTAAAGCCTACTGTATTCCTTCTGAAAGGTGAATGAAAAGTGATTTTTTTCTAGCAATGCAGTGCGTGAGAAATCAACTATAGGAGGATAGAAGAAGACGCAGCCGCATGGGGTTGCTGCAAATAGTGCATATTATAGAAGAAAGTGAGTTGTGATATTTGTGTGTATATATAAATATACATATATAAAATTATGTTGAAAAAGTCAATTTTGCAATCCAGGAATTCTCTCTTTAAGAAGATAGTAAATTCATATTCAAATATAGTCAGCATCCACAGTCATTTGATAATACCTTATTCACAGTTCAGAAGAAAACATTCACCCTTTGCAGAAGTACACTTGTAAAGGACATGAGCACACAAACATAAAATTGCTTATGTATCCATTTCTATGTTCTGCCCTGGAGGAAAAATGTGCATTGAACATTCTCATAATAATGAATCTTTAAACAAGAGAAACTACAATATATTTTCAAATTTTCATTCAACATATGATAATTGTAAAATCTACTTGGCTTTGCACTGGCAATCTATTAAGTTGAACAGCATATCTGTAAAAGATTTAATGTTCTTGCAAGAAGTGTCTTTTTTTACAAATATGTTAATTTGGGGTTTTATTTCTTCATCTTATTTTTCCTCCTTGGATTCAGTTTTTTTTTTCATTCTAATTTTGTATTTGTCTCACTGTTTCTTATCTATCTAATACAGTGGTTAAAATATGAAGATAACAATTTCAGAGACATTTAATTAACTCTAAAAGATAATAAATTCATTTGGCATAGACAAATCTGATCTCAGCCACAAAATATAGCTTCATCATAGATTTTTGCAAAATATGACAAGGAAGTGCTCATGGAATGAAYACTTCACTACCAACACAATATTAAATTCTTTGCATATGTCACTACTTTCTCATGATAGGCCAATAAGGAAGGCATTGACACCATGTTATTTGAGCACAGAAACAGGTGTGGTGATGCTGGATGCTCTACTAGAACTACACGCAGTTATAAAAAAGGGGAAAAGGAAAGGCAGTGTGAAAGCCAAGCCTACGTCTTTCCCTAAGACTCATAATTTCCCTGCTGTCTCCAGGAGAAACAATTTAGACCAATCCTCTCATTAAAGAGGCGAGTACACTGAGGTCCCCAGGAAGTGAAAAGCTTTCCTAAAGTTCTACACACAGCCTGGTCATGATGACATCTCCTCAGATCCATTCCACCCTCTTAGGTGGCTCTAGCATATTATCAACCCTGAGTCACTCTTGACTCAGGGCTTATGTATCTTTGGCAATACTTAGCCAAATTCAAGCTTGTTTGAAAGTCAAAGCCACTTTTCAGACAAGGAAACCAGTGATGACTGGGTAACACTGCTTTGTAAATATAGTCTCACTGCACCTCAAGAAGGACCTTTGATGTCTACATTTACGAGGGAGGACAGAAACCATCATGAAATAATTCAATTCTGATTAAGCTCTTAGGGACCAAAGTCTTTTCTTGCCTCAGTTCTTTCATTTGCCCCATTTAGTATTCTGCTAGGTATTTGTCTACTATAGTGATTCTAGTAGAAGAGACGTCCTTGTCTCTTGTTGACATACCCTTAACCACTATAACATCTATAAAATCAAATGTATCAGAAGTAAATCCAGTTTATTCAAGTGTGGTGAAGAGCATATGGGATAATTCTGCACTGTCTGTTGTTCCAGAACATTCCTTCACCACCCTCTACTCAAAGGATGCCACCACCCTGTACTCACAGTATGGCTGGGTTAGCAGAGGTTACACATAAAAAAAAAAAAAAACAGGTAGAGAATCAGTGAGCTTTTGGCTGACTTACCCTTGAGTTGACCACTTCCAGGGAGACATTCTGAGGTGGGGCACTTGGCACTGAAAGGAATCAAACAAATAGGATGGTTACTGCCAAAGTCTTGGAAGAGAAACTCCAATCCTCTGGTGAAAAGAGGAAGTATATCTTTCTCACAGTTCATAATTATAATGAGGTAGGTTAAGGCAGGTGGTCTTTCAAAATTTTCGTGAAGAGATGAGCAATAACCTCATTTGTATATGCTTTCTCGGTTGGTGGGCCAGTTAGTTATCCATCTAGGGAGCCCCCAAAACTGTTAGGCAAAAGAGCACCTGCTGTGATACCAAATACTGACATTTAATTACAGCTATCTTATAATAACCTTCCTAGAGAAACCAATGGAAACACACAGGAGATTTCCTAGAGTGGTATTAAAGGTTTAAGAGACTGCACATTTCAGGATCTGCATGGCATTATGATGAAATATATCATTCTAATGGTCACCCAGGTTGCTTAATCCCTTTAATGCAATGTTTATTATCTCTCTTAAAAGTGTAAAGAAGAAATACTTTCACAGTTTTTTTTTTTTGCTGTTTATAATTAAACCTGTGTGTCATAGATGCAAGCAGCCTACCAAGTAGTATTAACCCCGTCAATTCCATCAACAAAAGAGCAGTTCGTTTTCTCTGGATGTTTCTTTTGATGTACCCACTTCTTTATGGAAGAAAGAAGAACATATACAGGTCTATTTTAATACCTGTAAGAAATATTTACTATATCAAAAAGTAAATATTCTATCATGTTAATAATTCAAAGACAAACATTCAATGAATAGCTGTTGGAGGTCAGGGACTATTTTCTAGCTGTCTGGGATGAATCATACATAAAACAAAAAATCCTCCTATCCCACAAAAGAAATAGAAACAGTATTAAATAAATTCTTTACRTGTATTAATCTATATAATGAGTAGCCCCTATCCTTTTTGGTGACAAAATGGTGATATAATAAAAATGAAATATTCCTGGACATTTTCAAGACCTTAGATCCATTTCTTGTCATATTTCCCCTTATTTTAACTTGGACAATATCTGTTTTTTTTTCTAAATGTTTCTTATATTTTACACTCAATTTATTTATGCCCTACTCAGATTTTATCTTCCAGAAGGTAACAAAAGTAGTCACCATCACAGCATGTAATTTATCTGATTAATCTTTATATCCTCCGAACTGACATTTCAATTAATATTTACTGAATTGAATTAGGAAATAAATATTTACTTAAATATTGGCTCCTGGAACTTTCTGGACATAGTGGAAATTGCAATAATTTAGTATGTATTAATTTTGAACCTGTCTTAGTGCTGAACAAAGATGGTAACCACTGAATAAATACTCACCTGGGGCTTGATTTTTATGAATTAAATCAACAATTACTCTTTCATAAACATTCCTAATTTAGGAAATATTTCAGAATTTATTTTATTTCACATTTTATAAATTAAGTACAGAATGTAACTACCAGAGGGACAAGGCTTTTTGTCTATTTTGATGCTGTGTGAAGTACTGAGAGTTTTCATGTATGCCATTCAGTTTGCACATTCAGTTTAGTTGTTGAATGAGTAAATTAATTAACAGGCAGCTTATATGCTCATGAAAAAAGCTCCTTCATACTCAGGTTTTAGTCACCAGGTCTTGTAATTGTCTTTTTTTAAATCAAGGTATAAACTGCAATTTTATTATTAATATTAATAATATTTAATTAATTGTAAAAACTACATTTAAGGTATAAGTTACAATTTTATCATTTAAACTGAGGTAAAACATTGGGGTACAATATGCTCTATATAACTTTACAAACTTCTAAAATATTATCTTTAAAACAAAATTTGGAAATACTAATATTAGTATTAAACACTAATCAATACTAATATTAAATATTAATACTAATCAACCAGTTCTTAAACATGGAAATATTTCTTGTTTAAATTTAATGTATATTGTCATATTTACATGTCATGTTTTATGTAGCTAATCATATTACAACTCATTTGTTGACCAATTTAATGTTATCAAAACAATTTCAGTAATGCTAACTTAATTTATCACAGCTGATTGAATTTTGGAGGAAGGAAAAGGTAGATTTATTTTGTGTTTTGTTCTGGGTACTATACTATCTATGAGATATGTTACCCTCATATATCATTTAAAATGGGGATGTGGCTCAAGCGGTAGCGTGCTCGCCTGGCATGCGTGCGGCCCGGGTTCGATCCTCAGCACCACATACAAACAAAGATGTTGTGTCAGCCGAAAACTGAAAAATAAATATTGAAATTCTCTCTCTCTCTCTCTCTCTCTCTCTCTCTCTCTCTCAAATAAATAAATAAATAAAATATAAAATTTATAAATGGTATTTAATTCCCTATTTCCAGTAGGCCAAGAATACACAAAGACAAAATATAAATGTGTTCATCTTCATTTTGTAACTACCACAATTGTAGAAACATCAAGAGCAATTCCTGTATTACAAATTAAAAGCCAATTTAATAAAATCCTAAATGTTTTCATAATAGTAGCAATGCTGTATTTTAGTTTTCTGTGGTATAAACTTCTCTTACTTTCCACTGATGCACACTAGCTATTCTTACAAGGTCAGGATAATTAAAGAATTTTTTCTACAGTTAAGTTTGGTTACCAATCCTTACTCCTCCTCCTTCCGCCTTCTCACTATCAATTTCTATACTATTTAGAGATAAACCCATGCAAGAAATAGGGTTGGAATATTGGTGGAAGTAAGGGGGATATGCATMTATCTGGGATTTTCATTATTTGTTTCCCACAATGTCTTGTTGTTTCATGAGGCAAAGGGGAAAGAATATTTTTTTGTCTTCAAAATGCCATGTGACTTGTCATTGACACTGGGTCTATTGAGGTCAATCAGAGGTGGGTCTGGAGGCCCCCCAACATGGTGGAGCTTGCTGGTTTATAGTTTGGTGGTGAGGTAGTCTGTAGGGCAGATCACATTTGTAAGTGAATCTCCATCACCACAGGCACCTCAATTCCACTCCTCAGCAAACACCTGCTGTCACATGCACACAGTTTATGGATCAAAATAACTYCTATATACTTACAAGTTTTTCTTTAAGATTCTAATATAAAACATTTATCACAGAATGATAGAAATTTGTCTCCAAGTTGCCCCCTGCCTCCGCTTACCAGCTTTGCTCCCTTTCTGACTTGGTTTTGTCAACAGTAAAGTAGAGAAAATTATAGCATTGTCAGGCTAAAGGTTAATGCAAAGTTCTTAGATCAAGGCCTTGCTCTTAGCAACTACTCAATAAACATTAGTGTTAACAGTGATGGCAATAATAAGCAGATTTTTATAGGTGGTTGCCTATGAAATAGGGTCCTTCTGCTTTCAGACACGGAACAAGATGGCATGGAAAWTCCTGTTACTTCATTCATAAAACGTATTAGTGACCTTACTATATCATGTAGTTCAAGAAAAACTGTTTGGGGAAGACAAAAAGAAAACTTGCAAAATTAGATATGATCTCGTGCTAAATAGTCCCAATGGTTTGAAGAAGTGGGTCATTGTAAACCTAATGGTACACTAGATGGAGGAATCTGAATGAAAATTATGTTTCTACTCAGATAAACAATTGAAGCAGAGCTAAATTAGAAATGATGGCTCATCTGGATAAAAAATATTTATAAGCATCTTAGCAGAACTGGGAAACCACTGGGATAATTAATTCAGAAAATAAATTATACTTAATTTTGTTTTTTTTTACATTGTTCTCTTCCCTGATGTAAATTTTATGGTAAGGATTCCTCTAACACAATAAGATATATGATGCTCTTTACAATGCAGATGCATTTAAGCACAGTCATTTATTAAATTAACCCCACAACTGGGAAGTCCCAAGATTAATTTTTACACACACACATTTGTATAGTTTGGATGAACCTGTCTAATTTATCCAACCAATATTTACTGAGTCAGGAAGAAGGTAGAAATGAATATAACACCTCTTTTGTATTTAGAAGCATTTAATGTAAAAAGCAAATATCTACGGGTGTAGATAAGTATTATTAAAAGCTTGCATGTATGTCAGGCATTGTTTTAGGTGCTTGCATGGATTAGCCCATCTAATTTTCACAACAGTTACCTGTTAGAACATACAAAAAGTCAAAGAAGTTGCCCTATGACTGGGACTGGGAAGCAGATGACTATTAAAGGTGACTAAAGACATCAAAATGTGGTGTGTGACCTCAGCAAGAACAGCTTCAAGACAAAAGAGAAAACATTAGATAGAAGTGGATAGACGAGAGCTAGGTAATGAGCCAGTGGAAGCCAGGAGTGCAAGTTTAGATTGTAAATTAGAAGGGAGGAGTTGACTGTAAAAATGCATGTGAAGAGGTCAGGGTGCCCTTGTCAAGGGGACCACAGAGTCCTGGCTTTCTTCTATCAAATGCATCGGACAGAGGCAATTGAGTGTCTCTTCTACAGTGATTTTTTATTGGGGTTAGGGTCATAAAATGCTTTTGTTTTAGTGACAGACATTTTCTAAGTCTCAACCACTGCACACTTCCAGAAGCTAATTCTTAGACTAATGATTAACAATCTATCTTTCTCACTTATGACATTTAAACCAAAGTGGAGAATAAGGCCGCAGCATTACAGTTCAGAGTGTGAATAAAATCTACATAAATTATGTAAAATATTCATTTTCATTTGTTTTTCTTTTATTTTTATAATTATAAGTTGTGAAATAATTTATTCTGCCAATATTCTGTTCTGTCTCCAATAACAGAATCAGATGGATGGGCAGAAGAATTACATTAAACTGATACTGAAGTGGCCTTACATGTAAAGTACATTTTAAAATTGAAATTGAAAATGAGCATCACTCCTGTGTTCTCTCTGCACTGTCCTTTATCACGAGCATGTCTTTTGTTATTCCACTGATGCCCTGTGCAATGTCCACCCAGATACTTTGCCAGATTCAAGAATGATAGATTGTTCAAAGAGTCACAAGCTATAGTGATTTTTAAAAAAAAAAATATCAATATTTACAGAAGTAAACTAAAAGGGTAATTATTTCGGAAAAGAGCTAGCTTCTTATCTTTTTTTTAGATTCATGGGGGTCATCTCTACATTTCTGAACCTACCTGAGTCTCCACTGGCCCCATACCATACCATGTTCTGCTGTACTTTACTTTCACTTTTTTATTAGATTTTTCCAACTTTCATTATCCCCAGTTCTCTAGTTTTCCATGCCACTGCTTGATCAAATCCATTCTCTTAACCAGGATTCCTTCCTCTCTTTTATAGCATTAACAAAGTCTAATCCTTCATTCATCAGAAAAAGTAAAATTAAAATATACATTTTTATGTTTACTATTCATACATTTAATGGTTGATATTTTGGGCTAATTCCTTATATTTTCAAAATAAGAGCTATTTAGGGGTACTGATAGCACTTTAAAGCATCTGTGCCCTTTAGAATGAGGAATAACAGAAGCATGCCAAATTAGTCCACTCACAAATGAGTTTGCATTAGAGCATTTATAGAAATAAAAACATGCACAAAAATTATTTGAGCTCTTAGGCAACTGTCACACCTTAAGAAGGACCTATTAATATATCCTGACTCAGGGTACATACCTGGACAGAAGGTTTAAGTTTGATAATAGCATTAGTGAGTTCACAAAATTTTCTAATTTGTGTTAAAATATTCCACAWAATTTTAGTCAGGAAGCCTTGAAAATGGAATCTAAGACATACATGCCAATAGTATTTCATTATTATAGCGAATGTGTGAATGAAATTTCACTCTTTATCACTTACCATCTGAAAGTGTAACCACTGTGATATCCTCAGTAGATACTCCTGGTCCATAGCGATTATAAGCTAAGAATCGAAGAGTATATTCCGTGAATTTTTTCAGGCCTTCCAGTTTATAAGATAGCCCATCGACTTCTATATTCTGGAGACATAAAACGTCAAAACTGTTATTAAGGAGGTGCATTAAAGCAGGAAGGGTAGCCTTTTTGTGCAATCACTGAAATGGACATTAGACTCCTGCTCACTAAAGTACATTCATTCTAGCCTATAATGAGTTGTAAAACCTTACCTGTGACACACACTCCCCCACTGAGCCCACACTGCTCTATAGACTCCTTATAAAAATAGCACTATGCTCTATTTGTAGCCATTAAGTTCCAATTTGTTTAATACCACCCAGTGCATTGAATGGTAACAGTTATTCCACCCACAGCAAATCCCTGATGAGCAGAAGGTGGCTGTAGAGCCCTGGGAACAGAGACTGGCTCCCACTTCAAATGGAATAATTCACCAAGAATCCATAGATTTGCTCCATTGCTTGCTGACATGTACCCACAGCTCTTGAAACTCTCAGATACTTTGCCACAGTTTGTATCTCCCCAAATGCTGAGATGTAGGCTGAAACTGTTGGCACTTCACAGCTGCAGTCAATGGGGTCCTGAAGGTGAAAGTTGCTGGGGAGATCAGACCAGCACTCACCAGAGGATCGCCTCATTTAGCTCTCCAGGACGATCTCACACTCAATCTGCCTTGGGTGACATTGGTTTTGAATTTTTTTWAAATAGGTTGGGGAAATGAATTACTGAAGACTAAAATATATAGAACATTGAATCAAAGAGGTAGTAAAAAAAATAATAGTTAAAATTGGCATGGAATCTGGGCTTGGTGGTGCATCCCTGTAATCCCAACGACTGCTGACTGAAGCAGGAGGATTGCAAATTCAAGTCCAGCCACAGCAATTTAGCTAGGCCTGAAGCAACTTAGCAAGACTTTGTCTCAAAATTAAAAATCAATCAACCAATAAATAAAAAGGTCTGAGGGTATGGTTCAGGGGTTAAGCACCCCATATCCATGGGTCTATTCCCTGGTGCTAAAAAAAAAAAAAAAAAAAAAAAAAAAAAAAGAAGAAGGATTACATAGAAGCAGCTTATTGAATGCTGTCTATCATGTAACTTGGAACTAGACTTGAACTCTAAACTGTTTCATATTGGTCACTTTCTCTCTCTTTCTTTCTCTCTCTCTCTCTCTTTGGTGATACTGGGATTCACTAGGCAGGTGCTATATAGTTCCAGCTCCCTGTTTCAGGATTTGAAGTAAAAATTACTGCAAATGCAGTTTATGTGGAAGCATGGAGACCACCTTATGCTTGGCAACCTTCACAAAACAGAGCACTCTCAGCTCCTGAGGCCACTCTGCTATTCAGCTATCCACTTGTCTGTGTATCTTCTCCACATGAAGGTGGTGGTCTGGCAGTAAATATCTCAACAGTCATACGAATGTCACAAAAGAGAATTGCTGACTTTGTCACTCTCAAAGACTTATTTACTCTAGCTTTAAAACCTGAACAGCCAATCTGCCTCTTTTCAGGCATCTGTGTTAATAACAAATTAGAAACAAAATGCAAGGAGGAGGGTGATGGTGAGGATAGAAACAGTCTGATTGGGAAGAATGCAAACAGCCATCTGAAACAGCCATTATTACCTTATGCACATACATGACTGCATGACTGAGTGCTTCTACAGCATATACAATCAGAAAAATGAGAAATTATACCCCATTTATGTATGATATGTCAAAGTGCATAAATACATTCTACTTTCATGTATAACTAGTTAAAACAAATAAAAAAAATTGAAAAACAAAAAACAACAACCTAACAGCCATCTGGCTAAGGATATATATATATATATATAAATATATATATATATAGAGAGAGAGAGAGAGAGAGAGAGAGAGAATATATCCAGATGCATTCCCTCCTTCCCATAAGTAGGGAAAGTACACTATCTCTGGGTGCACACAAATGTGGTTACCTACATTGGCCCAGGCTACTGCATATTCAAACCCAAAATGAGCATCAATCTCTTTTAACCTCAACTTACAGTCTATTTGCCTTTTTCACAACAGAATTCAATTAAATTGCTTAAAGTTTTCAATAACAAATACTTTAGAATTAATCCACTATCCAATGAATATGTTTAACACTGAACCGTATCAGGAGCTTGCAGGTCTCCTTCGTCTCTAGCTGGAGAGCCACCCAGTAGACAGGCTGTGTGACTCATGCCCTTACCTACCTGTTCTTTCCCTGTGGACACTTCAGTGCAGAATAATCTGTAACCTTGGACTGGACCATTTGCATAGGCAGGAGGTTCCCAGGTAATAAGAATTGAGGTAGGTGAGGTAGATACAGCTTGCAGGTTTTCTACTGGCCCTGGAACTTGCACTGTGTACAAAACACATTGATTAGTATAAAAGGGTTCACTTCTGCAAAACAAATAAACTTGCAACTTTTGTAGTTCAAGGGAAAAAATAGCAAAATGTACAATTTTAGAGCCACATGGATATCAATAAATAAAATATAAAAATTAATGAAAATTTAGACTCACTTAATTTTAAAAATAAAGTAAAAACTTATATTAATTGAATTACTTATTTCATTTTATTCTTAAAGAAAATGGCCAAGAAGTATTAAAAACTAAGGTAATGTTAGAAAAGGGTGGGATTCTGAATCTAAATTCTTAATCTGAATAATTTTCCACTCTACCAGTATACCATTGCCTGTGAGAGAAAATACAATTAGAGTACTTGAACATTTCCATTTATTATTCAAATAGGCAACACAGGTATGGATAATTTATCACATGGTTGTTATTTAAGTCAGCAATTTAAAATCTTGCTTGACTCTCGTTCTTTAAAATTATTTTTAGGATTCGTTTTTAATTTTATTTTCTAGTGTTCCATTTTCTCTCATGACTATGACTTTACTTAATCACACATAAGTAACTTGCTTATTAACAAAATTGGATAAAACAAGTCCACAATCACATAATCAGCACTTCTGACCAGGTATTTCAAGATGCAGAAATTTTCAGATTTTTACTGTAAGAACCCACATCTCTATTTGTGTACCTGTTACCTTTTCATGGTTTATATGTCATATCATCCTTAATTATTTTGTGGTCACATTGTCCCAGATTTGACCTGTGAAGTCCTTTTTAAGTTCATTTCTCTTTAAGTTCATTCCTCTGTCCCTGTGGTCTATCTCTTCATTTAGTGGAGTATTTCCTTTCTCTCTGATCCATCTTGACCCTACCCTAGCTCTGGAATCAGATGTTTTCCCCATGATTTCTCGTTCTTGGTAGTGGGGAATGACATTAAAGACCAAGATCAGAATGCTACGTGTGGTTAACTACTACTTTTAACAGCTTTGCTTCGTGTATTTTCAGGGCACAGAGATAAGACACGGGCGGGTGTGTGCATACGTACATACTACAGCATGTTTATATACTGACATGTGCTTTCATAGATATTTTGATCAGAGTCTACACCCTGAACGTGCCCGATCTCGTCTGATATTTTGATCAGAGTTTTCATGCCTCTCATTCCAGTCCACCTCTCCTCTGTTTGGCCTCGCCTTCCCTTCCTTTGCCAACTTCCTTTCTTCCACAGGAGGACCCTTGGTCCCCAAGAGTTGGACATTTGACAGACAAGAGTGTTCCCACCCCAGTACTCTTCCAGGAAAGGATAGTTTTTCTATGACAACATCCTATTCTGCAAAGAGAACGTTGGGGGCACAATACCAAAGCCGGGAGTCTTATCTCATGTCACAGTTTACACGATATAATTGGTTTATGTGGAAGCATGGAGACCATGAGACCATGGAGACCCTGAAGCCAGTCAATTTGCTTCATGGGAAAATAAATAAATAAATAAAAACCTGTCTATGAACATTGTTTCCTGAATCATCACAGTAAAGTTTTTTTGTTTTTTAAAGTTTTAAAGCACAGTAATAAAAACAAATAATTCGTATGGTTTTGTGATTACTTATATACTTATAAAAAATGCAAAGAGAACATTTCTGATATGAAATTTGTTATTCCTCTAAGTAAGAAAGACAGAGAAAGGAATGAAGGCTCTGAATTCCAGGAGCTTGCAGAAGATAAATGTGGAATGCGAGGGACCTGGGATTTCAACACGGTTCACACAGAACATAGAGGTGTGACCCAATGGTGTGTAAAGTGGTTGCCAAATACGTTCCTTCTTGCTTTCTTATATCTTAACTGACAGAGAATTACTTGTCATAAACGTAGTTTCATCTGGAAGAAACTATTCAGATTTTAATCCCATTTCTGTGGTGAGATGTGAAACATTCAAAAAGGTGAAAGTCCAGACCTGATTTTGCACCCCCAGAGGACAGGGAGACTAAAAACTAGTGGATGTCTGGGAGAAGGGGACAGATGATAATGTTTGGGCAGTGTCTGCTCCTCCTGCTCACTAAAGCACAATGAGGCAACGGGAAGTGATTCATATGGACTCGAAGTTTTAAGGAGCAAAGGGGAAAGAAATGATCCTGCACCTCAACTTAGTAGCAACTGAGCAGTATGTAAAGGCTTTGTAGAGAAGCAAAGAAATGTGTGTGTGTGTGTGTGTGTGTGTGTGTGTGTGTGTGTGTGTTTGGGGGGGGGTGCCCATGCTATTCTGTGAATTTCGGAGCCTTTTCCCTATCTTGTAACTTCTTTATATTCATGTAGTTAATTGTTGTCAACTACAGAATATCAGGCAGTTATCACCTTAATTTGGACTTCGTTCACATGACTAGTGCCAACCCTAACCATTTACTCATTAAGTGTATTTGTCCACCTTCCTTATAGTCATTGGATACTGTTAGGGAGAAATGTGTGCTTGGGTTTCCAGAAGGATTTCAAACAGAGATAATAGACACTGCAAATAAAAAGGAGCCACTGGAGCATTTAGTTCAAGTACTCATAAGCCACTGAAGTGCTTGCACAAGTTACTAGCCAAACAAGAACATTCCTTTTGTTGTGGTAGTTTTGAATTGCCTTTTCTCCTAAGAAAAGATTATCCTTCAATATTAAATTGTTTCATACTTTCACTCTTTTGACTTAAAATATAATTTATTTTATGATATGATAGTATTGGTAGATTTTGTTTAATATTCTCATATATTAGAATAAAAATGTCATAACTCTATGTTGGTTTGAATAAATATAAATATCAAAACATGCATTGCCATCAAATTATACATATATTTCCTTCAGAAAACAACAGCCTTCTGATTTACAGCAAAATATTGCCTGCATGTAGGATATTCTTCTTCACAACGTTCCTGTGTCAGGATAGCGAGTTTCGACAGTAGCTATTAAATACTTATTCTTCTTCACAACAGCGCTACAAATTCAGATTCATGAATTCCCTCGTATTTTCCCTTTGAATTATAGCCTTGACTTATATATGTGGATAATATATTGTTTAATGTTAATGATGGGTTTATATGTATATAGGTATATACTTGTATATACTTGTACATTTAGTCAGTTATACCCATAAAGTGGGTTGAAGTATAATTTATATAATTTTACATATGTAATGTTATATGCATATGAGTTGCAAGCAAGAAAACAAAAAGGGAGACTCGAAAAATGTTCAAGAATGGGAATTAGATGTGAAATCAATACAGTTAACAGCTCTTGCCCTCCATTTCATTACATTTTAGCATGTCAGTCAAGAAATTTAATGGGCTTAACTGCTCATCATTTCCAAGATGTCTTTAATAGTCTCCACTGATCTCCTCAGTTGGACAATAATTTTGTGGCAAACTGCATCTAATTTTTCTCCATCTCCATTCAAGTTACCTGTTTTTTCAAAGAATGGAAAGATTTCAGAATAGATACATAATCTATGCAAGTAACTCATCAATCAATGCCAGATTAGCCAACCACCTTTTAAAATTTCAATACTGCATTGCAGTACAAATTCATCATAACACCTATATCTAAGAACAAATTAAATAGTTATGTTGGAATAAATGAGATGTATTATGTGTCACTACTTGCACTGGGAATATTAATTTCTGACTATATATAAATTTATAGGATAACAGAGCACATTGTAATGAAACCTTGTTGCATATTAACCTGAATAATGTTATATAAAAGTCAGCTACAGGCATGGTGGCACATGCCTGTAATCCTAGCAGCTTGGGAGAATGAGGCAGGAGGACTGCAAGTTTAAGGGCAGCCTTAGCAATTTGGCAATTCCTTGTCTCAATATAAAAAAATTAAAAGGACTGGGGGTGTAGCTTGTTGGTAAAGAAAGCACTGCCGGTTTCAATTCCCAGTAGCAAGAAAAAAAAAAAAAGCTAGTCAAATCTTTAACATAGTATGGTTTATCACATATGCATATGGAAGACTGTATGTGTGCATGCATATTAGAGAGTGAACTACCATGGTTTAATAGGCTACAGTTGAATAATTATAGATGATAGGAGGTATGATATTCTTATCTCTACGTATGAGGGGGAACTGCCCCTATCAAGGAGTCTAAGAACCCTCTGAAATTGATTACAATTTTTCACAAATGCAACATACATTTTTGGAGGAATGTGGTCTACAGTGCCTATGATTCCCAAATTTCTAATTCCTGATGAATTAGATAATATCTCTGGTTTGCTTTGGTTCTGACAGTCGGTGATTATCGTTGAATGACTTGTAGTGGTTTCTATTTATGCTATTGTAAGAACTATGGAAATGATTTCATTTCAAAGAAACATCTATAACATTTATTCAAATGTTAGTGTTTTTCAAAGCTGAAATAACTTTGTAAACTAGATTGCTATATCATTTTTCACATTATGAGTATTTCAAAGGCATTTGAATTCATCTGGTTTAATTTACCAAATATTTTAGGTTTTACAAGATATATGGCTTCTGGTGATTGAGAAATCCTCTCATATAAATGAATTAATTTCTTCCTTCCTTTCTTCCTTCTTTCCTCCTTTCCTTCCTTCCCCTTTTTTTCTATTTAATACTCATCTACCTAGTTGCTCATCTGACTGACTTTGAAATACCTAAATTATGATTTATGAAATATATGTTTCTCAAAAAACCTCAAGAGTTTAAGGAATCCCTTCGAAATATAAATGTGACTATAAGGGTTTCAAAGAAAAAGCTTTAGAAGAATCAAGTCATGCTGCTGTTGTAATAATATGGAATGAGGCTGATGCCTCTCAGCCATTAAACTGATGTTTCTCAGCGGGAAGTTCAAAATGAAGACAAATGTTAATGTCAGAGGCTATGTAGTTGAACATTTGAATATTTAAAGTTTCTTTCAAAATGACAATGTAGTACAAGGAGTCCTAATGTTCTTAAATCATAAATTTAACAGACACTTTTTTTAAGGACTAAAGTAAGTGGATTCAGGGGA